CTGGAAATACTAAAAATTTTACTATCGTTATCTTGTGTAAATAAAGGAGTCAAGATAGGTATGTTATCGCTTTGCTATTGTTGCTGCACTATAATAAATGACTTATATTTAATCGAGCAATAATTAAATTTAGCAATAATAATACGGAATGTGCAATAATTTATTTAAATTAAAGGTAAATTTTATATGAAAACGGTGTGAGATCTCAATCCCACCGTACGTATATATGTATCACTTTATGTATATCTCCTATATCTGCATCCATATAAGAAATGTAATGTTATATATAGAGCGATGACAAGTGCTGGGAAATCCATAGAACTGCATGAAAGAAAGAAGAACAAAAAGAAAGGAAAAGTTCATCAGATACATATGAGAGGAAAGGAAAATGCCCATCATTCCTTAAAATTATACTTGCAAGCACATGATTGGTGTATCCATCAGATTAAAATATTGTAAACTTCTATCAGAGGCAAAAAATGTGGAAATCGAAATAAAAAGAAAAAGTTGTAGACCATCTAAAGCAAAAAAAAAGCTTTATTGACACAATAATATACTATGTTTTCATTTTTCTTTTTCTTATTTTCATTGTAACTAACAAGAATGTAGTTTTTCTTTTTTTTTTTTTTATTCGTAAAATATGAAATTACTACTGCTATTTAATGAATTAATTATTGCACATTTAGTAATATAAAATTGCTCGAATAAAATTGTTTATTGCTTAAAAATTATTGCTAAATTGTATTTTAATTATTGCTCATTCCAACATTTATATTGCTCAAATATATACTAACGTTAATAAACATCGAAGAATAATGAAATAAATATGTTTATAGTCAAAACCTTGACAAACGATCATAATTTAGAAAAGATTTCCATATAAATACGATAAATGTCAAGATAATATAAAACTCATGTTCTGATATAATATAAAATGTCAATAACATCCAAACTAACGAAGGTGTTACTACAAGTAACTCGCGCCGTTTGAGGTTATATTCGACCCACAGGCAGGTCTCTTAAGGGAAATCTTCTAACTGATAAATCGCTTTTAAGTCGAGACTATGTGCATTATGTAGACCTCAATGAGCTATGAATACTCTGAAAGAGTTCGTGACTTCAGCTTATTGCTACGAAGATACTGCACTTCTTTGATGTGCTTCTATCCTGAAATCTGAACATCAAATCTGTCCGTTTATATAAGTGATATAAAAGACACGCTATTATCATAGTTGTGTTTTAGGATAGAAACATCGACAAGATCTGAAACTTTAATAAAAAGCTATTCTTGTTAAAACCTGCGTCTTTGTAAAGTTTCAAGTCAAAATTTGAGAAACAATTTTTCTGATGTTTCTGAGACTGACTACGGTATTTATTTAGATGATACTGTGAAAGTACAATATCTCCGCAGCAATTAGCTAAGGGCTCGAACGCTTTTCTGAGTATTCATAGTTCATTTGGATCTACATAATGCACATACTCTAGACTCAAAAATGAGTAGATAATTTGAAGACTTTCCTCGTAAGACAAAATCGAAGTGTATATATATATTTTTTTTGGAAAATATAGTTTCCTTTGCTTAAGAGAACCAAAGTACTGGAAGCTCTGTCAAAAAAGTCTTTCTCTGCCTAGAACAAATTTTGCAATATTTGTCAGAAACTACTAGAGCATCATTTTAAGAAAAAAAAATATATATCCCGATTTGATCTTAGTTGTCACACAAAAAAAAAGATTTCAGCTCAATCGATTGAAGTGTTTGAGAGAGAAAGGGAAAAAGTTTCAATTTTTCTGTTTAAATATTGATTTTGAGAAAAATACGAAACAATGTACAGTTTTCACTAATTTGATTTCTTAACATTTAAAGATAATTTTTTGGATCCCAATGCAAACTCAGTAGATAGATACTAATCCAGACTCCCCCCCCCCCCCCCCCGAACAAAAAAATCGCCTTTTTGCATTTCATTTTTTCACCACATAATACACTGTATTAAAAAAAAAACATACCACAAGATGCAGCGTGAAAAGAACTACAATCTACAAAAGACAGCTTGTTTTATAGTTGCACTTTTGTTTTCAAAATGGACAAAATTCGAAGGCACTAGTTTTTGACTTTTCGAAAAAAAGAAGTTTTTGGTACAATTACTCGCACAGAATTTTGTTCATTTTGAAAATGAAAACTGCAACTATAAAATAAGCTGTTCGTTGTAAATTGTAGAGCTTTTCACGTTGCATCTTGTGGTGTATTTTGTTGCTTTAATAAAGCATATCAGATGATGAAAAGATGAAAAAAAAAAACGAATTGGTCAGGCACTAAAAGTTTCTTTTTTTCGAAAAGTTAAAAATTAGTGCCTTCGAATTTTGCCAATTTTGAAAACAAAAAGTACAACTATAAAACAAGCTGTCTTTTGTCGATTGTAATTCTTTTCACGTTGCATCTTGTGGTATATGTTGTTTTTTTAATACAGTGTATTATGTGGTGAAAAAATGAAATGCAAAGAGGCGATTTTTTTTTGTCCGAGGGGGACTATAGAATGGCCACAAAAAAAATAGAGTAATGAAAGAGAAGAATGTGTCCTCGAGCGAAATATTATATCTTATTTGTTAAATTATTCACAAGAACGAGTGCAAAAACCTGATAGAAAAAGAATTTTGAAAATGACATATTCTGAATCTATTTGTGTCATTGAGCCTAAACAAATAATGTATGTTGTTTCGTTTCAATCAAAGATACAAGTTTGCAGAAAGTCGAACGAAGAATCTATTTAAAAAAATATTGTTCTGTTATGTGGAAACATTGCTGAGAAATATATATGATACTGGAAAGTTCATTTTTTTATATAGACTACCCGTTCGTATTCAATATGATTTGAAACGAATGTCATAAGATTAATAATATATCCCACAACCATCAGTCATAAAATATGACTACTTAAGTGTACTAATTATATCAATACGATACAGCGAATCTTTTTTCGATCTCTTCTTTTACTTTGTCTTATGTAATATTAGTAGCAACATATAAATAATTTTAGTTTTTATCATTTCGCCTATAAATCAATACACATAAATATATAACAGCATTGCCAAGTACTTTTTATTTTACAATATTAAAAATAATTTGATAATGAAAATTCAAGATTAAACGAAATCATGTTAGATAATTATAAGATTAAAACTTGTTTGTTGAATAATCAATGAAAAAAAAAAAATAAACAAATACAAATAATAATTAAACAAAAAATAAAAATAAAACTTTCTTCATTAGAAATTCTACTATTTCGCCACGATAGACTTTATATAATTGAAATTATTATTTCTTAACTTATCAATTAGCAATTTTCTCGAATATAAATGACTCAATAAAATATCTATTATTGAAAATATCATATTTTTCGTTAAAGATTTTATTTTTTTTTCATATCTTTCAGTTAAACATATACTACTCGTATAATTCAAATTAAGAAATAGAATCTCTTCAAGTGTCAAACCGTTGTTTCGACCAAGACGATGTATATTTGACGAGTACTAGTAAGTAATAGAAAAGTCTAGAATGGTTTGATTTTCCGAGCCTTTGTTCTCTGAGATATCGAAATTTTACTAGACTTTTCAAGAAAAAGCTGTAGTTTTCCTTCAGGTCACATGGAAGATCGACACTTTCGACTTCAAAATTTGCATGACCAAAGTTCTCATCGATGAGCGAACTACTCGAACTGATGTCCACTGTTTCAGCTCATAATGAGGGCTCGATGAGGCTAGAAAAATCTTAAAAAAATTCATATTCGTAATTTTCTAAAGTCGAATTATGATCGTTTTATTGAATATTCGATCGAGCTTTAGGTATTTACTGAGCAATCGAATAATGGAATTTCGACCTGAAATTTAGCTCATAGATATGTCTGATGACTCTGGAAATATTATAAAAGTTTCAACCGAAAAAAAGATTTCTTTGTCGAGATATTGAATTTTCAAAAAAATAGTCATTTGCCATAAAAACCAAGTTTACTTAAAAATTTAATATCTCAAAAAAAAGAAGCATTCTTTTTGGCTGAAACTTTCAGGATATTCCTAGATTCATTAGACCTATCTATAGACAAAATTTCAGAACGAAATTCTGTTATCTGATCTTTCGATAAATACCTAAAACTGCATCGAAAATTCAGCAAAGCAATTTATAATTAAGTTCCAGAGGCACAAACCCTTTTAAAATTTTTCTAGTCTTCTCGAAACTTCCTTGTAAACTCGATATGAGTTCAAACGGTGGATATCAGTTCGAGCAGTTCTCTCCTAAGATTAGTTCATTGAACAAGTTGTAAATTTTCTAGTATCTTCTATCCTGAAATTCTCTCAATTGTAAAAACAAATCAAGAAAGAAAATACTACTCGCACAACCAACTAATCTTATTAAGAGCTTTGGTCATGCAAAGTTTGCAGTCAAAAATCGATTTCTCATGTGATCTAACGGGATCATAGCTTTCTGTTTAAAAGACTAATTAATAAAACTTCGATATCTCGAGAACGAAGACTTTAAAACCTAAATCATTCTAGAATTTTCTATTACTCACTGGTACTCATCAAATTAACATCGTCTTGATCGAAAAGTGATTGAATACCTGAAGAAATTCTCTAGTTAGTAAAATAAAATACAAGAATAAGAAAAAAGAAACAATTTACGTTCATATGAATAAATTAATTGTTATTTAAATAGAATTATTAAGATGAAAATATAAATAATAAAAGATTGTTATGTTATAAATAGATGTATTATGTTTTATGAAGAAAAACCAAAAAAAGAATCAATCAATTAATTAAACAAAGTAATAATATTGAAATGAAAATATCCAAATATACTTAATTTTCTTTTTCTATTGTTTAAATAAAATTTTAAAGTACCAAGAAAAAGAATTACGAATTTTAAAATTATAATATCATATTTATATAAATTTGGTTTGATAAAAAAAAGGCATATATCGATCCGATATATGATTATTATCGATTGAAGACTATAATCTAATATCATCGTCATCATTATCACCAATAGGCCGATTAACATCTTTTAAATCATAAGAATCATCGAATAAACTTGTTTCTTCTTTTTGTATATTTCGATGTTTAATTTCAGTTTCTCGTGTTTCAATATCATTTCCATCTTGATTATTTTTAATAGATGATGTTTTAGATTTATCTAATTTTGTAGTTTTTGTCTTACTAAATTCTTTTACAGCTATAGAACGTCTTTGTTCATCCATATGTTTTGATCGAATTATTATATATAAAAGTATAGACCATAAACCTTCTAATCCATTACAAATAATAAAAAACCATGCCAAAACATATCCAGCTTCTGGACTAGCAATTGTTAAAAATGGACCAAAAAGCCAACCAATACCTTGAGTTGCACATGATGAAAGTAAAATAAGTACACATCGTTTCATTCGTTCATATGTTTGATGTGGTGATGTTGCATGTCGAACATGATTTATTATACGTTGACTTACACGAATAAATATAAATATATTGATTAAAAGAAATAGACAAACAGGTATTGTCAGAAAATAATAAATAACTCGACGTGTAAACCAACAAAGTTTATATGGATATAATTGAGTAATTTGAAATGATGAATTTGAATTAAATCCAGCTGCAAAAGCAACCCATGTAATCGAAATCAAAAATGATACACCAAGCATAATAAATAGTTTTCGAAGTGATGGTTGTGGAAATAAATGAACAAAACGAAGATAATTAAAGTATCCAACACTAGTCTTAGCACAAAACATAAAAATTAAAAAGAAATAAGTGAAAAACATTAATACACTTGAACTTAAAAAACATTGATTTTCATTTATAGACGATGTTCTTGTATAAACTGTCATTCCCATAGCTATATAAAAAATAAATAGAATTGTTGTACTTGCAGAAGATATTAAAGGAAATAAATCATATGCTTGAAAACCCATAATTGGACTATGAATTCGTATAATACTAGCATGAATAATAATAATTAAAAAGCATATAATTGATATTGATAGACAAACAAGTGATCCAATATCTTGTGCATCAAGATTGGATGTAAGTAGTATTCTGGGTAACCAAATAAGAGCAAACGAAGTTAAATGATTACAATTACATTCATATCGATTAAATCGAACATTATATTGAGGTATAGTACAACCAGATTCATTCCATTTTGAATTAGTTGTATCATAAAATGAACAAAGATATTCGGCACTACCATTTGGTTGATATTCAGGTAAAATTTGAAAATAAAGAGAAATAGTAATTGGTGTTGATAAAGAACTATTTCTTCGCACAGCCACAACAATCACTGATGATGCAAGCATTTTATTAGTTGAATTATCTAATTTTTCATATGTAGTAGGTTTATTAATAATGAGCATATTCAGAGATGTAACACCAGTTAAAGATTGATTGCTAATGATAGCTGCTGCAGATGAAAATGAGTTGGTCACATTATCTACATTTGAAGTACTGACAACTTGACCACCAATACCACGATTAAATGAAGCACCTAAAACAATTATATTACCTCCTTGATTCGGTTGTTGTGCCATAAGAAATGAATCATTAGTGTTTATTGTTAAATTTACATTGCTTATATTGCTAAGATAGGTATCAATCTCATTTGCAGTGAGTGTATATGTTGAATTTAATGTTGTATTCGAATTCGTAATTGAACTTATATATAATGAAAGAGCATTAGCAATAACAGTCGAATTTGCAGTATTACTACGCAATATGTTAACTGTCAATATCTAAACAAATTATATACAAAATGAAAACAAAAACTAGAGCTCTTTTAAACAGACTTGACCATCCGATTTGGAAATACAAGTACCATTGGGCAATTGTACTTCAATAGAACTATTACATGAAACGAAATATGGTGACCAAACCAGAGCAAAAGTAGACAAATGATTACAACTACATTCATAACGATTAAATAAAGTATTATACTGAGGTGTAGTACAACCGGATTCATTCCATTTCGAACCATTTATATCATAATAGGTGCATAAATATCTTGAAGTAACAGTTGGCACATATTCATTTAGAACTTGAAAATATAGTAAAATATTCATTGGATTTGATACAGAACTATTTCTTTTCACAGCCATCACAATGACTGATGATGCAAGGTGTCTATCCCTCGAATTATCTATATTTTCATATGTAGTAGGCATATCAATGATCAGTATATTAAGAGATGTGACATTAACTAATGATTCATTAGAGAGAAAAGCTGCAGTTGTTAGATTTGAATTGAGTGTATTATTAAGAGTGGAAACACCTAAAATTTGACCACCGATACCATGTGTGAATGAACCACCGATAACAGTTCCATTTGCAATTTGATCTGCTTGTTGGGCCATGATAAATGACGTGTTAGTGTTAAGAATCAAAGTTATATTGTCGAGACTCTCAATATATTCATCAATCTCACTAGCTGATAAAATATAGTTCGGATTCGATGATATATTCGAATTCGCAATTGAACTTAAATATAATGAGAGAGCATAAATTATTGCAGTCGCATTCATCGTCCTGTTACGTAAGATATTAACCGTTTCTATCTGTATGAGAAAACACTGAATTTAGACAAAAAAAACTTATTCTTTTCCATCATACCTGAGCATTAGTTTTCGGCACACAAGTACCATTAGGTAACTGTATTTCAACTGAACCATTACAAGTGACAGGAATTGCACTAGTAGTACTCATTGTTGTTACAGCAACAGTGATTATAGTAGGAGTGGTTGTTGTTGTAGAAACAGGCATTGTTGTAAAAGTAGTTACAGCTGTAGAAGCACTTACCGTTGTAGTAGCTTCTGTTGTCATAGAGCTATTTGTTATTATTAAAGTACTCGTGATATTAGAAGTCTCTGTTGTTGTCGAATTATTGGTAGCTGTAGTAGTAGTTGTTGTCGTCGAAGTAGCTATCGATATAGCAGCCTCCATTGTTGTAGAATTAGTAGTTATTATTAAAGTAGCCGTTGTAGTCGAAGTGGTTGTTGTAGCAGTAGCCGCTGTTGTAGACAAAGATATTGATGCAGTAGTTTCTGTTGTTATAGAGCTTTCCAATGTTGTATTAGTTTCCATTGCTGTAAGAGCAATTGTCCTAGTAGAAGTCTCCATTGTTGGTGGAACAGCTGCTGTTGTAGTATTTTCTGTTGTTGTAGAGGTATCCATTATTACAAAAGTAGTTGTTATAGTAGAAATACTCGTTGTTGTAGATCCCGTTATTGATGTAGGAGTTTCTGTCGCTTGAGAGGTTAATAATGGTGTACTAGTTTCCATTTCTGAAAACGTAGCTATTGTAGTAGCAGTCTCCGTTGTTGATGCAGCAGTTACTATTGTAGTATTTTCTGTTGTTGTCGAGAGCTCCGTTATTATGAAAGTAGTTGTTGTAGTAGAAAGACTCGCCGTTGTAGGCTGAGTTATCGATGTAGGAGTTTCTGTCGCTTGAGAGGTTAATAATGGTGTACTAGTTTCCATTTCTGAAAACGTAGCTATTGTAGTAGCAGTCTCCGTTGTTGATGCAGCAGTTACTATTGTAGTATTTTCTGTTGTTGTCGAGTTCTCCGTTATTATGAAAGTAGCTGTTGTAGTAGAAATACTCGTCGTTGTAGGCTGACTTATTGATGTAGGAGTTTCTGTTGCTTGAGAAGTTAATAATGGTGTACTAGTTTCCATTTCTGAAAAAGTAGTTATCGCAGTAGCAGTCTCCGTTGTTGATGCAG